AACGTATAACTCATAACGCTATGCTGTGCAACGGCTAAATCGGGACTGAGCGCACCCGCGATTATTAATATAGAACGCAACAAAAATCGCTCGCGAAACCACAATGATAATCGCCTCATCTCTCTTATTCTTTTGCGGCGTTTACTTTGCGTGCGCTCAAAAGTATGAGGGCTGTTTTCGGAGTTACGACTCAAACGAACTACCCACTCCTACTTTAGGACACGCCAGTACGCCCGCCGAATGCGTTACAAAATGTCGTTCTCAATATTACATGTAAGTAAACAATGTATCCGATCTGAGAGGTACATGTATTTTCTAAAACTTTTAGAGTGAATCTCACTCTGAAGTCTCACCCTTAAAGATTGAAAATTGAGTCATTCTTTTTGAAGATTAATTCAATTTTTACTCTTTAGAATTCCATTTTTAAAAATTTAGAGAATAAATAAATAATGCTTTCGATCTATAAGGTACAATATTGAATGGATTTTAAGATTGTAATTTTTTGTTCAATAGATTCGCAGGGCTAATGAATGGACAACAGTGCTATTGCGTTAACAAATTTGGCCAGCCATCGGACAGCTGTACTGTCACCTGTGCCTCTGATTCTTCTTACTATTGCGGCAGCTACGAAGCTATGAGCGTTTATGCTACTGGTCAGCAAGGTATGATTTGTAGCAATACAAATCTTTTGTTTTATTCCATACATCATAAATGACTCCAGTAACATTGCATCAACATTGCAATGTTCCAACAATATTGCAGTGTAACATTATAAATGTTGCAGTGATGTTGTTGAAAGCTTTTATGCTGTATAGGATATAACTTTTATTATGCAGCGTATTGTGTGCCTAATATACTGAATTATCCCTAACGTGAATTTGATATGGTGAAAACGTTACTGTACTAGAATACGTTACAATTTACATGAATAAGGATTATACGTGTGTCTTTTGTAGGTCCAAGTCCACCGAGGAGGGTATCGGTAACAGAGGAGGCAAAAGATACTCTCAAAATAACATGGCAGCCACCAGATATACCCAACGGAAAAATAATATCTTATACCATCCGCGCCGTCGTTGAAAAAACATACTCGAGCAACAATTTATCACCTATCGAAAATCAGATTCAAGGAGGTTCATCGAACATGACGATTCTGAGAGGTCTTCAGCCTGGCACTAAGTATCACATATCTATCACCGCCAGCAATATACTGGAGTCCAGTGAACCGGCGAATACTACGGGATGGACTGTGATAGGTCCACCCGACAAACCAGCCATGCCCAAAATATTGGAACGCGGAAAAGACACGATTACCGTCATGCTTACCGAGGGTCACAGCGAGTATGGACCGATTAGCGCATATCAGGTTTTTGTTGTGCAAGCTGACGCTATACCTCCCCCGGTCGATGAAAAGTATTTGAACTACGATTCCGCATCGAAACAAGGGTTAAGTTACTACGTTGCTGCGCAATTCGAACCGTTGGACTTTCATAGATACAGAAAGTTCGTCGTGGGCGATGGAAGAATGATCGGTGGTTATCATAATCTTCCGTTGCAAGATCAGTTCGTTTCCGCGCAAGTTGGCTTGATGATAATCTCGCGGAAAGCAGCGTATGAACAACGTTCCTATTCTGATTTGGCCAATAATGCCAATATCATGCTCAGTCATGAAATGAATCAAATGGACACGACTGCTCTTGCGCTTTGCATAGCGATCACGCTGCTGAGTATATTACTTGCCATTTCGATATTGATATATTTTGTATTGCGACGGCGACACGAGAGATTCCACATGCAGAAGTTGCCAGAGCAGCAGGAGCTCACTTTGCAGGGTCCGGTATATGAGGTGGACAATATAGGCTACATTCCGGAGGATATCCCTGAAAGGGTAAATCATTATCAAGAGTTGAAGAAGAAAGTCTGGAGTATACCGCAAAACGCCTTGTCCGTTGATGATCATGTCATACGCAGAGGACGATTCGGCAGCGTGCACACCGGAACCGTTTTGAAAGATGACAAATCCTGTCCAGTAACGATCCACACCATAATCGACGGTGCACTGAAGGGATCTGATAAGAGGCATATGCTGAGAGAATTAGATGTGTGCATCCGAGCGGGTTCCATGAAATATCTCGCGGGTCTCGTAGGGACCTGCGAGACCACCGACATGTTATATGTCGTGTTGGAGCTACCACCTCAGATCTTGAAGGACCGTCTGTTAGGCGCGCGATCGGGGGATGTGTTCCCTATAGATCAAATATTGTCTATTTCATCCTCAATAGCGATCGCTTTGCAATATCTGGCGAGCCATAAGATCATCCATAATCGCCTCTGCGCGCGAAGCGTGGGACTGTCGAGCGATTGGACCCCGAAACTTATGGGTCATGGTATCGCCAAATATGCCATGCAAGACTTAAAGTACGCAAGGTGGACGGCCATCGAGTGCTTCGATAATCAGACGAAGCATCAGCCGGGCGTGATATGGGCGTTCGGCGTGCTTCTCTGGGAGATGTTTAGCATGGGTGGTACACCGTACTCAAATTTGGCACTCGATAGCGAAGTGGAGGACGCGATTATGCGAGGTATCCGGTTACCGCAATTATTAGATGTCACAGACCCGATTTACGAAGTCATGTCATCCTGTTGGAGAGACGATCCCGAAGAACGGCCCACGTTCGATGAACTTATACGATTGGTAAGTAACGAAAAATCAATTCTCTAATAATAACAATAATAATATTATACGTCTCTATAATGTTATTAATTCTTTAAATTATATTTACACATATTCTTTCTCTTATATAGGATACCTTGAGCGTTTGTCCTATTACTGCCATCACGGAGCCCTACTTACCGGAATTGGAGTTGAATTAACATTCTCATTTACTATCTTTAGACATACCTGCATTTATTTAGTAACGTATCGAAGTTGTAAATATCTCACTGTGTTCACGAGAATCTCGTAGACTTTATCGTTACCAATGTAGGCATACGTTTATTATCTGCATTCTCTCTCTCACTCTTTCTTTTTTGTCTGACATCCTAAATTTAAATTTTATTATAATAATGTAAGTGATATAAATGTTACAAAAACGTTCATACTAATTCCGTCCATGTTTAATGAAAAATAACTGAGATTAGTAAGTAACAAAGTTAGGATAAGATTATAAATAGGGTACAGGTGTACAAGTATGAAGTGCGGATTTGAGACAACAAATGGTACACCAATGCAGTGTGTAGTATAAAGATTTTACGTATATGCCAACCGGTTGCAGTCGATTAAGCACACTTAGAACTTGATCGGTTCAGCCGTTATTGAGATCCAATAATCTCGTACTGCCGCAACTCGCCGGCTCGCGTAAAGTAGCCACGGTAGTGGTGCTGCGAGTAGCTTAGCGCCGAGACACTACCAGTGTCTCCAGATTTTGTTGTGCCATCAACAAGTGTCAAACGTGCATAAGTAATAAATTGAAAAAGTGTTTGCATAGTATTGTTTTGCTGTGTTCAACATGTCGAAATTTGTGCCGAATAAAGAGCATTCGCGGGCAGCATTAATTTTTTGTTTTCATTTGAAGAAAACTGCTGCTGAATCACTGCCGATTACTTCGAGAAGCTTATGATGAACATGCTCCATCGCAAGATACGTGTGAACGATGATTTCGATGTTGTAGGTGTTTCAAAAGTGGTGATTTCGATATTGTAGACAAAGAACACGGAAAACCGCCAAAAAGGTACGAATATGTAGAATTGCAAGCATTGTTGGACGAAGACGATTCACAAACACAAAAACAACTCGCAGAGCGATTGAGCGTTAGTCAACAAGATGTGAAAAAATGGCTCGATGAATGGTTCGCGGCAAAAGGGGAAGATTTTTACTGGCGTGGTATCCACAAATTACCCGAAAGATGGGAAAAATATGTAACTAGCAATGGAGCATACTTTGAATAAACCACTTTTTATCATTCTTACGAATTTAACGTGTTTTTTTTTTGGGAAAAAATCCGCATTTCATACTTGTACACCTGGTATAGTTAAGATAAGATTATAAACATTGCGGTAGAAAATATTTTATTTTTTAACGTTTCTACGTTATATATTACATTAATTACATTCGTAAACGTCAATCTGTCTCTTTTACATGAGATTTTAATTTACAGCAATACCAAGACAAAGAAAATACTTTATTACCTGTTGATTGCGAGATCTATAAATATATATTTTTATTATATCTTTCAGTTACTAATGCGTTTTAGTACTTACGCATTTAAATCCATATTATCGTACTCATTCGATAATATTGTCGCTTCAAAAGTACAAATGTATTAATATCGAATTAATATATACGTATCTGTAGTGTACATGTTCTTAAATAATCAGCAAAATTACCACAAAGAACAACATTTGAATGTAAAACGGAAGATAATCTTTTAGAGATGTAAAATTGTTTTTTAAAGTTATATGTTTATATTTATTTTGAATTTTTTATATATACAACTTATGCCATATAAATTGTACTTTTGTGTTAAGTTGAATATCGATTTTTTTAATGCGTATTTTTTAATTTGTCAATTATATGATGTACGTTTCTATTGTATAGTATATGTTCCGTTTTCTGCATTTTATAGAAGCGCATACGTATACTCTTTGTGTATCAAGCAGAATTTTTATAAAAATATGTCTATATTATAATATTATGATATAATGTTTGTATATTAAGACGAAAAATACAATTTTTATATATACTTTTCTTCTTATGCTTTTCTATGTCTTATTCCAAATGAAAGTAAAAACATTTATTGTCTAGTAAGCGATAAAATTTTCTACTTTTTAACATAAACTTAATCTACGGAATCACAAAAATTTTTAATCAAACACAAATCTACTGTTTTTAGATTCGTAATTTAACAGTTAAATTCTTATAGTTAAACTCTAAAAAAAAGTATCATTTATTTACTAGTTAAGCGCTTAATTTCTTATGAAAAAAAAAATGGTACGTATTATTATGCGTCTACTTTTTACCGCCATTAATCCGAGGCGATCGATTACTTCCGGAATGAAAAATATGTTTATATCGTATGAGGTGTCAAAAACTTGCTCGAGTGAGAATGCGTTGGTTTGGGACCGATCGTAGGTGTTCTGCTTGAAACTGGGCACAGAATCTGTTTGTACGCTTCTCTATACAGTTTGTTAGTGCCGGCATAAATAAAAGGATTTATCACCGCGGATGCCCATGCGAGCACAGACGCCACTATATGAAGTATCGGAAACTTCATCTTGTCGTCGATAACGTTCACCAGCATCAGCGGCATGAAGCACAACAGGAAACAAAGGAATATAGTAAGCATCAGTCTAGTCACTCTGGAGTCTTCCCGCCGTTGAAATCCACCGCCTCGTCGACCGCTTTCCGCTGCATGAGCCTCGAGATTCTTTCGGCTTCTGCGTACACGCCAATATATGCAGAGATACGAAACACTGATCACCACGCATGGTACGATAAAGCCAAGAATGAACAGAAACTTCTTCGGACTCGAGCCGTTTTTCTTCAGTATGGTGCATGAGAACGTGGCCGGATCTAGTCCTAGAGTACCCCAGATGCCTAATAAGGGTGGCAGCAGCATCAAGAAACTTAGAGTCCATATACCTATTAACATTAGCATTATGCCGCGAGTAGTGTATAACTGGTTGTAAATGTCCGACTGTGAGATTAGTATATATCTGGAAAAGAAAAACAAAATCTCGACTAGCATGTATTTTAAAAAATATAGATATATATTTACGTTATACTCTTAAGATATATTAAACTTACATTCTAAATTTCTTACAGTAAAATCTTACTCCAAGAAAGTAAAAATACAACCATCCTTGAAAAAAAGTGAAAATTTTCACTCTTTTTAGAGTGAATTTTCACTTCAAAGGAGTGAAATCTCATTCCAATAAAGTGAGATTTTACTCTAAAAAGAGTAAAGATCGTCACTTTTTTTCAAGAAGTGAAATATTTTTACTTTTTTTCAAGGATGGTTGGATTTTCACTCCCTTGGAGTGAGATTTCACTGTAAGAAATTTAGAGTGTAAAATATTTTTCTTAGACTAGATTATATTAATGCGCGTTTTTAGGATATATATATATATATATCTTTTTTCATCAAAATTCAAAGGAAAAGAATCATTGTTGAAATTTACCTGTTGATAGTAATGGCCACCATACTAAGTAAAGATACAGCGACGTTCCCGTAGAAGAATAAGGGGAATATTTTGCATAGAGTCTCACCCAGAACCCATGCTTCGTTCAAATATCTACTGGCGGTTAGAGGCAAGTTTACCGCCGAGAAGATCAAATCGGAGATACTTAGACTTATCACAAATGCTGTGGTGGCATGTCGTCTCAGTCTGGTATATTTTAACAATGCGATTACCGTTATTAAATTACCTGGAATTCAGATATAGAATTCAATTCATTATTAAAGATTTAAAGTCGCTAGCAGGTAAAACGATTGGGAGATATAAAACGTTACCTAATACTCCAATAATGCTGAATATTATAGCGCATACTGCAGCAGTAATAGTCTCGGAGCGTGTAAATGGCTTAGAGCTTCCAACCTCCGAAAAGATTTCGACGAAAGTGTCGTTTACTACAATGTGCCCCATTTTTTAGCAAACCCGCAGAAAACAGTTTTCCTTCCTTCGCATTCTTCGGTTAATCAAAAATTGCCGTGATTCATGTGCTACAAAAAATAAGGAAGCACATATAAAAAATTGTTTTATTTTAAAGGCCATTAACATACAAAAAAAAACGTAAGTCGTAAGCAGTAAGCAAATCAACATTTTAAATTTGTTACTGTTTTGATTGGTCAATTCGCTTACTTCTTACGTCTTACATTTTACTGGCTTACATTTTTCTATATATCCTATGATTTTAACAAACTATCTTAATTCTAAGAATTCTGCTGTTAATTTTTATCTTCCAATTTTCCAGTTACCGGTTTATGAAAATTGAAACCGATAGTAATAGAAAAAAGTAGAAAAATCTTGAGAATTTCTTAACTCATGAATTTATTTAATTAATTTTCAAAAATCCCTCAAAGATTCCTCTCAAAGACATTTCATCTCTTTCTCACGAAATAACCCGACTAACGAACCTCGCATGCAATTAAACGCACTAACTTTCCTCATCCACACTCTTTGTTTACTTCTCGTTACTTCTTCTTTCATTCATTACTTTCTATCTGTTCTATTAATTCCCTGAATTTTCTCGCCGTGGAAAGACAGACAGAGAGAACATGCATCCCTCCATATATATATATATATATATATATACATTCCGGGGAGTTTTATCGCACATGCCGCATCAATTAATTTCCATATTTCTTCATGTTCGCTCGCTCTGCCGTTAAGAACAAACCATTAGTCATACCGATAAATTTTTGTGACCTTCTCAGAATACTGCTTAGTGGCTGCAGCAACAACGCGAACTTTGGCCTCAAACAGCAGGAGCTGACACCGAATCGTTTCGTGACGCTACATTGTAGTTATTGTTAATTAACTCGCGAAAGGTATTCTTCCAGAAACTGTAGTACTTTATGGCATCCAATTAAATCGCTATCTCTGAACAATTCGCCCCAATTATCCTCTTCCTTCCTTGTAATTAGCTCTTGATCGCTGTAATTCAACTTGTTCCTTAAATAAACTCGTTTTTCTCGTAATTAAACATGCACTTTTAGACATGCACTTTCATGTTTACATTATGTACATATTCATTATGATTTTTTTTATTTTTTCTCTATTAGTAATTTTTTCGTCTTTATACAAAGGAATGGCTTCTTCGATTTAATTTAACGCATCGTCACTGCGGATTTATCACTGATTAATTCCAAAAAAATTAATGTTGGTATTTTTTAAAATTATGTGTTAATCCTGTATTTATTCGTAGATGTTATAAACGTTGTCACAGTAAATGCGATGCTTAAACTGCTCCCGTTATTTCGGTAGACGTTCGTCCGCAGACTGACGAACTCTACTGACGCGTATCCCTTTACGAGTACATCACAAGTCTCCTTATCTAACTCACTCGATTTAACTCCGCCTCTTCTTCTTCTTCTACTTTTTCCTCTTCTTCTTATCCTTTCCTTCCGCTTTATTCCACTCTTCACGCCTGTAATTTCACTCCGATCTCAGCATTCAAAATCTCCTGGGATTTATTTAATGCATCAGTAATCGCGATGATAATCCACAATAATTCACTTTTTACTTACATATTTAAACATGAGAGAGAGAGAGAGAGAGAGAAAACGTTAAAGGAAAGTATCGTGAAAAAAAATGCTCAATATAGGCCTAATTGTATATATTTTGGATTGATTCAAATTTAAATGATAGAATTTTTCACTAAAATAGTAATCCTAAACGTTTCTGATTAGTAGTTTAAAATTAATTTAAATGACGATTTTAATTTTATTTAAACAACTTCTGTTTATATATTAATTATTTTGTTGTAGAAATGAAAATGATATATCTCATATTATCATATTTGGAAAATTAATTTTAAAATTCATAAAAATTGTGCAGGTTTCAAATTAAGAATCAATTTATTCAGCTTGTTTATCCGCTAAGTCACATCAATGTTATCGTAAATTTCTTTGATACTATTTCTGGGATTATAAAACATATTAATGCACCGAACACATTAAGTGAGGCGTGTTGTTCCAAAAATAGCAATTGGGTGGATATATTATGTTCTGACGATGTGTGTGCGATTATCATCCTAACCAGCATTCCATTTGTCGCACTCTATTTCACTCCATTTTCATCCATTTCGTTGTTTGCTTTACATGATGGAAAGTTTATTTGTTTAATTCAGGCCGCGCCTCGCTTTATTTTCCTTTAAAGAGAACCGCATATAAAGTTACCGGAAGAGGAAAATTAATAAAGATCGATGGCACAAAATTGTAATATTATTTAATCGAGTGTTAATTGCATAAAAATAGAAACAATTAATTTACGGTTGGCAGTAATAGAGGAAAGTAAAAATTTCGAACACTGCATCAGAGAAAGAACTTTGTAGAATCTTTTCTCGAGGCATCACTCAGCGCGATTTTGAACACTCGGTATATTCGCGTTATAAGTTAGAAGCATGTTTGTTTTCTTTTCTTATATATGTCTTGTTTTCACATTCGTGATTTTTTTCTCAAGAGGGAAGTCAACATAATTCAATACTAACAAAAATATGTATGTAAATTTTACATACAAATATATATAAATAATTTATAAAAATAAAAAGATATACAACGTTTTTTATGTTAAATTATTCTAACTCACATCTGTAATTTTCTGTTTTCTGGAACAATGTATAACCGAATATGTGGCTATTCTTATATAAAAACAGTTGATATCCCAATCAGAAATTTATGTTTACGAAAACATTTAGTTTTTATAAACATAAATTTCTGTTTAGAATATAAATTATTCTGATATAGAAAGAGATATTTTTTATATTATATAAAAATATTAAATAGACGTTGAATATATGTTTATTAAACCGCCAAAGTGTCTCGTATAAAAATGGTATTTTAAACTAATAAAAAAAACCCGTTTGACAGACGTTACATTGTAAATGTACACGGAGAAAATTTTATATTTAAAATTACTATAATGTGGTAGTAGCTGCGTACATCATGTAAATTATAAATTTAAATGCTATAGTTATTTTTTTAAAAACAGTAATGCAACTTAATTTTTACACTTTTTCATAGTAAAAATTTTTTATTACAAAATCACAACTTGTTGAATAAAAGTTAGTATTGTAAATATAAGTAAACAATATATACCTAGCAAATTTTGTTTGCATATCATAGTAAAAATTAACAGTTTTCATGTTAGAATATGGCTTGCAAGCACTGGTTTAACAAAATAATTACTTTAATTATTACTTTAATAATTATTACTTTAATTATTACTTTAATTATTACTTTAATTATTACTTTAATAATTATTTTTCAGTTTATACACGTTTATTACACGATTTCGGACACTTATTAAATATATTTTGATCGTAACACCATATTGTTTGGGACATTTCAAAATCTCGTGGATTATCTAATTAAAAGTCACATTCGCGCATCCTTTGCGTCCTCTCGAAGCACGTGGCGTTGCGCTCGAAATATATCCACACGTGAATTACCTTGAACGGCACGTGTCTTGCTTGCATCAGGATCGCTTGATCGGGCGTTTTATTCTATCACTAAGTACACACCCATTATATCCATATATCCACATCCACGAAGTCATCAAACACATTATCTCATTCCGAGAAATAGCTACAATAAATTGCCCTCGACTCACCGGTGAATCGTCGTGATGATAAATATAACGACTGTGGCACACCGGATAGACGGCGACTAAACCGAGCTCGCTTCCCGATTCCGAGCGATCGGCGAGCGCGAATGTGACTTACCTCTGTAGGTAGCAGCTGTCAAGGGCTACAAAGGGCACCGAACAATTGGAAAGGAGTGGCCCCCGACAAATAAAACTCACCCTACTGCCTTCTTTCATCCCTGCTGCGGTAACGGCGCCGCTGCGGCCGGCTGTGTCGAGCTCTTCGGGCTGATTAAAGGTAAAGTCTCAGACCCCGCGGAGATCCCTTGCTATAGAAGGAAACGTCGCGTCGTCGCATAAAAACATCATATCGTGCACCGAACACGCGCAGCGAGTGATAGAAAAGTTATTTTAGATTTTTGTTCACGTCACGTATTACATCCTCAGTCCACTTTAGATGATTTATAATTCTAGCGTCAGAATTCTATTTATAATTTTGTTTATCATGTGTTCTGATGTGTGTGTATTTTTATATATTTTATTTAATATATTTTATTTATATATATACACACGGAGATTTTTTTTTGTTTTAATATTTACCCCGAAAATATGGTAGTTGTACAATACAACATTTTAAAGATTTTTATCATGCGAGTAAAATTAATCAAACTTATTTCATATTTTATTGTAGTTTTATTAATGAATGAGGGAGATCTAAATTAAAATTCTTGGACATACAATGTTGTTCCACTACTATCATATTTTCAGGTAAACTCTAAGAAAAAATTCTCTCTGTGTAATATTTTATAATATTATATTATTTATAATATTTTATATATGTATTCGCGGATCTTCTTCACATATTTTCTGTATTATATGGCACATGAAATTAGAAATAGAATTCTATTTTAAATTTTACTTAGATCGTTTATTATTAGTTATACATACATTGTCTAAAGAGAGATATATATAGGGCGATATTTTTTAAAAAAAAGAAGAAAATTAAAGAACATCAGATTATAATGCGCGCGCGTGCATTTACTAAATAATTTTATAGTAAAATATGTTTAATTGTATATGAGACCCGAGAGAATATCTTCTTATTTCTTATATGAAATAAAAATAGATGATAACTGCGTAGATAATTTATCAGTTCTAAAAATCATGCATGTGTGTGTGTATCATAGATTATTTTCGTGGTTAACCGCTTGTAAAAAAAAAACAAAGCGCAAGTAATGAATATATCTCGAACAATGGATTAGGACGGTCAGAAATTTAAAGGAGTTTGAAAAGAACTTTTCATTTCTATTTAATGAATCTTGTACAAGAATATAGTATGCTAAGTACATTTATATATATATTTCGACCTGTTGAATATGTGATAAATATTCAATTTGTGTTATTTGGAATGTATTTTTTATTTTATATTTACTTTTTTGTCTTCGTTTTAATTTACATGGCGAGATTCGCTGAAAAGGAAAAGATCTGAAGGAACTTTGGTATAATGATCTTTAATTTTTGCTGTCGAATGTTTCGTTGAGTATTCCATAGGAATAAATCTGTCCTTCGGTTAATGTCGCTATAAGTAAAATACTTATAGGGTTTCATAATCTTTATAAATATTGACAAATATCGTCAAATGATATATCTCTATACAAATATCGATTTATCATTTTCTAGATTAAGCTACCAATCTCATAGCTTCATAGAGTTAGCGTTACGTCTTCACAAACCGGTGATCAAAAATCATGTAACGGTTGAAATAAGACTCGCTACGTCGCATAGAATCTCGGATATAATGCATTATTTATTCGCTATGTATGCGCTCCTACATCATCAGTCACTGTGATAATATCGCGTGCCTTGACTACAATTTTCAGTGCCGGGTTAAAGTGTGGGTCAGTCGGACAATTGGGTACCGTCAAGGTGTCACGCAACAACAAAGAATAATCCTCGTTGAATATCTATGCCCGAAAGCTCCAATTCAATTTAACAGAAAAAAATTTGGTATTCGTTACACACACACACACACACACACACACACACACACACACACACACACACACACACACACTGATATTTATCAAAGTTTCTTGCTAATGAAGTTTTTTTAAAGGTCAGAGATTGCCCTCTTTTCTTTTTCTTCACAAGATGCGAGATAGGAATAAGTTTATAAAATCGCATTAATTTTTTTTAATTTACATTGTTTTCGTTAATTATTATTAATTGAAAAAAATATATATTTTATATAGATAGTAATGTGTGATTTCTTTGGCGGAATGCAAAAGATGTTTCTGCGTTTTTATCTTATCTCTTTGTTATGGTTTTAAAAAGAACAGTTGGAAATTCCGAATATTAACAATGAAATTATAACTAAGGGGAAGTGAGAGTAAATAACTGCGCGGTAATCAATGTGTTATAATTATAAAATATATTTAAAAATATATTCAAAATTTACTATTAGGTGTTAAACTTAATTCCTGCCGTTTTTCGTCTCCAAAATTGATTTGTTTCGAAGGGAAATACCTTAAT